ATCATCAGATAGCGATAAATCAAAACCGCTTAATTATTTGCTTCATGGGTTTGTAAATGTGGATTCAGTATTTTCAATGACATAATTTTTAAAACATATTAATAACTTTTTATTATATTTAGAGTAATTGTTCACAGTGGCGATTTACATGGAGGCAATTATTATGTCTTATTAAAACCAGAAAAGAATGGCAGATGGTCTGAATTTTATTAATAAATTAATATTTAGATTATAATAATATGTCAAATAACTAATATTAAATATCAATAAAAGGTTCAAATTTGATGATTTTAGAGTTACACCTGTGACGGATAAAGAAGTCCTTGAAGATAATTATGGGGGTGAAGTTCCTAATTCAACTAGGAGAAATGTTGAAAAAGTTACGAATGCTTATATATTGGTGTATATCCGTGAATCTGATATCGACTCCGTGCTATCTCCTGTACTTACTAAGGATACACCGGAGCATTTGCGTAAGTGTATTCATTTATGAAGTTATTTAAGTTACAATTGCGCTGTGAATTTATCTTTCAAATACATGCTTAATAGAAAGACGAATAGATAAAGAAATGACTTTATATGAACAGAAAAAAAAAGAAGCTGAAGAGCGTCATTTATATTTGTCTACAAAGGTAATTATTTGACATTATTTGACATTATGAAAATTAATAATAAATGTGGATTATTCATAACAATTTATACTTTACTCTCGATTCATTATCAGATCGTGACTCTAACCACCTTTCAGCACTACCATTGGTTTGATCTTGCTAATTTTGACGACCAACAATACGCGCTATCTGAATTTCCACAAATTATGGTTTTAAAAAGCGATACATATCGTGCTTTTAAAGCTATTGTCGCTCACAAATTTGGGACTTCACCCGAAAAAATAAGATTCTGGGTTCTTGTAAATCGCCAAAATAAAACTATTAGGTCAGATGTTCCAATACCAAATGATTATCTTGATATGGGTAAGTCATATGTAAAATGTCGCTCTTTTCATTTTGTAATAAACCTTTTATTAATTTATGATAAATAGAGATGGAAGAAATTCGCAAAAAAATGGTTCCAAGACATAATGACCTAAAATTATTTTTGGAAGTTGCAGATAAATCAATTAATGGCAAAGTACTATTTAGTATTTAACAATCTATTTTATAAATTATTTGGCATGTATTTTCTTACTATTTCAATGGTTATTTATTTGATACGTAGGCATGGTTCCCGCCAAAAGAAAAAAATTCTTATATATTAGTTTTCATTAAGTACTTTAATCCCGATACACAATCTCTAGAGTATGTAATTTAGCCTTATTTTATTAATTCATTTAATATGAAATTAACCTCTTTTACCTATGTAAACAGAGGAGTGTGTCATTTATATGTTAGAAAATTTGGTAAAGTTGGTGATATTATTCCAATTCTTTGCAAGAAAAAAAATTTTCCACCACGCACACCCTTGAATATATATGAAGTAAGATATACTTTATATACAT